TGTACAGCTTCTTGATTGCCGGATCCAGGATTTTTTGGAGGGAGGGAGGGGGGATCTTTTGAGGGGGGGTTGCACTAGGATACACACATTTTTTTTTGCCTCCCTCCTCTCGGAAAATACAAAAGTGCAGATGAGGACAATAATACTATAATACATACGCCACACGGGGGATAATTAACGAACCGCAGGTGGTTTATTTGATTTTAGAAGAAAAAGAGAGACGAGGGAGAAATGGATAGCTTAGAAATTTAGGGCAGGGCATGGGTCTGTTGTAGAAACTCCCCCCACTCCCACCATATCACATCCCACCCTCCCCAAATCCCCCATGAAATATATATGTTTACATAGCATGTTAAATAGCATGCTGCCCTGTTAAAATGTCGATAGCGAACAAAGCCGATAGTTTTTAGCTAACACTGTTTTGTACTTTGTTTCCGTCTTGTGTCGTTAACATCGGTTTGTTTTCATGCATTTTTCCAAACCTTTTTGCACATGTATATTATAGGATTTAACTGGCGCTTTCTCATTGATCCGATCCCATGTACTTCTGTGTTTTGAATTATGACGAAATCCGGTATCGACATTCAGTCTACTGTTTCCTTTGATATTGAGTAACGTGTTCTGTTTCTACTGTCATACAGTTTCATGTACAAAAGATTAAAGAACACGTTTCTTTTAAATTTATTTCATCGTTCAGGCAATACATTTAGGATTTGAACTAATTTTTACAGGGAGATTTCGTCAATGATTGTTTGATGCACTGGTTTTGCGGACTGTGTGCCCTGGTACAGGAAGCACAGGTGGGTACTGGAGTGCTTTCCTTAAACAAATAAGAGGACCAATTATACTTTTTTAAAATAACAACGAGAAAACAATAATAATGGAAAAGGTAAAATAAATTAAAAAGCTTAAACGGAAAAGTGACATGAAAAAGATAAGTGCTTTACAGATTGGCTAGTTAAAGGGAATTAATGATAAATAATTATTTGGAAAATGATTTAAAATGACAGGCTGCGTTTTTTATGGAACTGAAATGCTGACAATCAGCCCCTCCTCTAATACACACGCGTACACACACACACACACACAGACACACACACACATACACAAACATACATAAACCCTCACATGGACATGTAGACACACACACACACACACACACACGCAGTCATACACACGCACACACTCACATACACACGAACACATACACAAACATACATAAACCCTTACATGGACACACACACATACACACACACAGACACAAACATACATAAACCCTCACATGGACATGCAGACGCTCACACACACACACACACACACACACACACACACATGCAGTTCTGGTCAAATGAAATGAAATCCGTTAGAAAAAAATTCATCTAGGTGTGAGTGAAATGTAAATGTAGGACCATGAACTGCTCCATAGCAATGGTTTGTGCTGGGTAAACTCATGGGAATGACTGACTTTTATTGAATCTCCTTGCAGGAAGTGGCAGGGGGAGCAGAGACGGGCCAATCCATGGTGAGGGAGTAGCCATGCGGGCAAAAGGGAAATGGCACCTGATTTTGGTGATCACCACAGCGCTTTAAAAGATAATAGCGATGAATCTGACATTATTTTAGAGTAGTATCTTATACACACTATACACACACATATGCACACTCACACATGTCATGTCAAACTAACGCGTTTACATAAGCCGTCCGCTCCTTCAAATGATCAAAGTCGACGTTTTTCTCGGCTATGTTTTTCACTATATGCATATATCAGTGAATGTAAGTGGCATAATCTAAATGTACTTAAATCTATGCAATATATATACATTTCTGTTGACAGGCATCAGAACTTTTACGCTTTTGTATATCAATATTATAGAAGTTTTTATATTCATATTAAAAACAAATCAACTCACAAACTCGTTGGCAATTCTAAGACGAGTGGAGAGTGTGGGAAGCTGCGAAAGAGAGGAAAAGGGACGACTTGCTTCGTTCTTTTTCATGACTGCACGCAAAAGAAGCAATTTTAGTTAAGCTAAAAGAGGACCTTTGAACTGCCACAAATACCTGTAAAATGCATATATGTCGAAATGCAGAAAAAGTAATATCAATCTTATCTACGCTACATATAAATCGCCTCCAAATACACAACTTTGTAGAACTGCACTTTCTCTTGCTGTACGAGGGTGCTGAACAGAAATGTGGTTACCATTCAAAATCTCTTCAAGAATAAACTTCAGATATTCTGAACAAATAATGTATACGTGTAATTCATTTATTACTCATTCACATGCCTATGTTATGTGAAAACCCTTGCCAATTATGAAAGTTCAAATTATACAGCGGATATTTTGCTACAATTATAATGACAGTAAGGGATTATTCCCAATGAAAGCTATGCTACTGCATAATTAACTCGTGAACACTTCTTAAACTCTTCTTTCACGATTCATTTTGACAGCCATCTCTCCTCCGGAACACCACCCAACCACTGCTGCTTCCAGTCCCTCTGGGTTGGGCGTGAAGCCAACAATATGAAGTATGTTGACGAAAGGTTGCCGCTTTACAGTCTGCGTTATTTATGCACGCCTCTTCACATTCCCTCTCGCTGATGCCGGTTTTGGTCTCAATATTTGGGCCGTTGACATAATATTTCGAGTCGAGTCTTTCCATTGATCCACAGGCCCCAAAGGCTGCAAAATATTACATAAAATATTTTCTTATCATAAGTACCGGTAAGACAAACGAACGACAACGTAGTTGTGAACTGTTGGGTAGAAGTTAAAAAGAAAATACAAAATTGTATTCACAATGGTGAAATTTTATTGTTGAACGAATATTCCATGTTTTTATCAATCTGAATAGGCCTCAAAAGTGCTGTGACCCATGCCTAACAAAAATTTAACATTTAGATCTAAACTCTATAAATTCACTTATCATGTGAATCTTAAAAGAAGAGAATTGAAGACGATATAGGCTTAGTCTCTCTCTCTCTCTCTCAAACTCACCAACAGTTCTGTAAATCCAGTTAGCCATTTTTCTGACGTCAGTGTAGACCCCGGGAAAAGAGGGTCTAGCACACCCTCTGCCAAAACTAACGATCCCCAGTTGTTTCCACTGCGTCTCACCACTGACTGTGAACGCGCACATGAGGGGTCCGCCTGAATCGCCCTAAAAACAAACAAACAAACAAAAAAAAAACGGTGTCCTTTTTTAAAAATTAAAATGATAACCGTATCGGGACCCTCAACCCAGCAAACACAGAACGTTTTATAACGTTACCATAACGTTTATATAACAGAAAACGTTATGGTACCGTTATAACAACGTTCTTTGTTTACTGGGTAGAAACGAGCCCATTAATATTGTCTTGGCTCCAGCCAAGGAAAATTGACACACTTGTTTGAAAAGCCCTATGGGTTACCATTATCATGTAATGAAAATGACACCATGAATAAAATGAAGGATTGTTTCTACTTTAGTCGTTAAATGTTACATAATTAAATAGCAAAAGACAGCTTAAGACGAATGCTGGCTGTAAACTCATGGTCCACATCATGACAAGCCCGTGTTATATTTAATTTTCGTGTTTTTTTTCTTACCAAACAAGAGTCTGTTGCGGGTTCGGCTGCGCAGAGCATATCGTCCGTAATTTCATCTCTGGGATACTGAGAACTGGCACGACACGCTTCCGCAGACGAATATCTCACTGACGCTTCCATTAAAACGTCGCTTGGTTGTATGGATCCTGGTAAAAATCAAAACATCTTTGAACCATAGAAACCTGTAAGTTGGAGTGATACACAACACAAATACACAAAAATCTCAAAATTGGTCTCCTACGTTGTTTCTCTAAAAGTAGTCCTAACGTCAAATTGTCCACACTAACCTAATCTCGAGACGCCCCAGCCAGTAACTGTGCACAGCGTTCCTTCGGCCACATTCGTGTCTTCTCTAACAGGACAGATGGGTCTAATTTCATTGGTGTCTTTTACAGGTTCAGAAAGCTTTAACAATGCCACGTCGTTGTCAAAAGTGGCCGCTTTATAACTGTTGATGATGTAAACCTTGCTCACTGTCCTCTCGACCACTGCTGCGGTTGTGGCTCGGCTTGACCGACTGTGGACACCAAGCGACACGCTGATCTCGTCTGCTCGCCACTGGCGCTGATCAGGACAGGAACGACTGAAGTACGATTTTAAAAGTTTGAAATTTGATTAAACGCATTTGGAAATTGGGCTGAAATTACCCCAAGAAAGATAAGGCGATGGTTAAATTTTCCACCGAGGATTTAGTGAAGTCAACAATTTGGATAGACGTGAGGACCGATTTATCCTATCTGATCACGTCTATGAGAAGGCTTTTAGGTAGATCTTAGCGCGAAATTTCATCGTTAACACTCCTTTTGAAGATTAAAAATTTCCACCTAGGATTTAGTGAAGTCAACGTTAGAAATGTGCGATTTTTTCTATCCTCTCTGTCCAAAATTGAACGAATTGTGTGACTGATGTCCTCTACATGCTTTAATAGGCCCTCAGGTATGTTTAAATCTATCAGATGAGTACTGTGCCTGCTAGACCTAAATAAAGCAATAATATTAATTTCCTGAAAATATCAATTCAACATTTGTAGCCCTAGCTTATCGATTTTAATAATATCTCTCTAGCGTACAGACCAAGCGTTTTTTCTTCATAAACTAAACACTTAAGTCACCGCGTCGCTTAGATCTGCTGATCAGGAAATTTTTTTAATCTTCAAAAGGAGTGTTAACGATGAAACTTCGCGCTAAGATCTACCTAAAAGCCTTCTCATAGACGTGATCAGATAAGATAAATCGGTCCTCACATCTATCCAAATTGTGCAGAAACGCGTCCTTTAAGATTGATGGCCATGGAGTCTTCCTACTTACGGTGTGTATAAGCAATGGGCCGCTGTAAGAATCCAGTCCTTCGTAATCAAGCTCCCTCCACATAGCGTTCCACATGAACTTCTACGTCCAAACTCGATGTAAGCCATCCATGGCCAGGAGTGGGGGAACGCCTCCTTGCCGTTTATTATTCTTGGCAAACTGGGCCGAGTTCCACATCTGGTGCATGCTAGAAGTGAAACGTAATAATAATAATAATAATAATAATAATAATAATAATAATAATAATAATAATAATATCAAAGGAAAAACCTTCAGAATCACAATGTTAAAAAATAAGTAACTTCATTGGGCGTACACATAGGCCCTACTACACAGCCAAATGTATGTATATACGCATGCCGGAAATGAACTCACTTATTGCAGGAGCGGATCTAAGATTATTTGAAGGGAAGGGGGGTACGCGAATGCGAAACCGACCCCCCCCCCCCCCCTTGGCGTGGGTTTTTTTTATAATTGGCTAAATAAACTCTTATCTTATCTTATCTTATATCTTATCTTAGATCCAGCTAGTTAAAATTTCTAATTTCAAGAAATCGAAGGGGGGGGGGGGGGGGGGGGGGGGGTGAGGACACGCCTTCCCCCCCCCCCTAGGCCGAGTTCCACATCTGTTGCATGCTAGAAGTGAAAATAATAATAATAATAATAATAATAATATAGAATAAAGAATTCAGTTGTGATCATTCAACCAAAGGGAAAAAAAACGCAAAATCAGAATGTTAAAAAATAAGTAGGCACACCTTGGGCGTGCACATAGGTCCTACTACACAACAAAATACATGTATGTGCAAGTGCATGCCGGAAATGAACTCACTTAATGATAAAAATGATTTGTCCCACAAAAGATTTCAGATCCGAGATGCCAAAGGAATTACACAGACTCTTTTCTAAATAAAACTTTTTTCGGTCCGTTTAACTTTTACATGTGATCTTAATTTTGTATGTTCAAATTTAGTCCCGCTAGTTTTAAGCAAATCGTCAAACTGCCTTCCAGTCACTGTGGTCACAAAAAAGGGGAAGGCTTAAGCATCGGCGGCGCGGACAGACAATTGTGATGGCAATAGATTTAAACACCACTGTCTTTATATATAAAACAGGTCTCTTTAAATCTGTAAACTTACCTCGAACAGCTACACTAAGACAAAGTATTCCCCAAACCACTTGAACGTATGTTTTTAAAACCACCATGGTCTTGGTAAGCGGCCGCCGTATGTTCTACTGTAGTGTGCTATTGCTGTTGCTGAACTTTAGTCGTCAAATTTAAACGAACATGACCGCAAACCATGGAAGTATTTTTAAATCCCGGATTTGTTTCTAAGGATAGCGCGATTCGTTGAAATGAGGTCACCCTGTAATGGCCGGATATCCTTTACGTTGATTTTTTTTTTTTTTTTGTAAAATTTTAGTATAATGGACTAAATCAAACAATATGTGCTGGGACTCAATTCACTGCGCCGCGATGTTTTGGTTGAAAGCAGTAAAAATGCTTATAAGCTAGAAAAAGAACAACAACAAGAAGAAGAGGGAGAAATGACTGTAGATTTTTTTCAAACATTGTAATATAACATCATATATATATATATATGCAGCAAAAGTAATCTCTGTCTTATCTATTGTAACATATAAACATACTGCGAATACATAACTTTGTAAACTGCGCTTTCGCTTCTTATAAACGTAAAAGGGTATTGAACAGAAATGTTTTATTTTTCACACGAAATCTCTCCAAGAATAATGTCAGATATTCTGAAAAATGGTGTTTACATGTAGTTTATTTATTGCTTATTCGGTTGTCTACGCTATACGTAAATCCTTGCCAATAACGAAAAATCAAATAAAACAGGGAAAATTATTCAGCGGATATGTTATAGTTACAGTGTCTCTAAAATGAACCCGCTGTCCCACCCCAGGGGTTGGGGGTTGTGAAGCGAATATCCAGAAGTTATGCTACTGCATAAACTCGTGTACACGTCTTAGCTTTATCTGTCACTGGATAGTTTAGCAGCCGTTTCTCTTTCGAAACGCCACCCAACCGCTGCTGCGTCCAGTCTCTCTCTAGGTTGGGCGAGAAGCCAACAATATGGCTTATTTTCACGATAGGTTGCCGCTTTACAGTCTGCGTTATTTATGCAAGTTTCTTCACATTCCCTCTCGCTGATGCCCCTTTTGGTCTCGATATGTGCACCATCGACATAATATTTCGAGTCGAGTCTTTCCATTGATCCACAGGCCCCAAAGGCTGCAAAATATTAGATAAAATATTTTCCTATCAATAGTAAGACGAACGAACGAACATGTAGTTTCTTTTCTTAAACTGCTTGGCAGAAGTTAATAAGAAAAATACTTAATTTTATTCACAATTTTAGTGTTGAACGAATACGCCATGATTTCTCAATCTGAATAGGCTTCAACAGTGCTACGATCCATCCCTAACAAGGTTTTTACATGTAGACCTAAACTCTTAAAGTTACATATCAAGTAAATCTAATGATGTAAAGATATTATGACGATATAGGCCTAGTCTGTCCCGTATGTGGAAACTCACCAATAGTTCTTGAAATCCATTTAGCCATTTTTCTGACGTCAGTGTAGACCCCGGGGTAAGAGGGTCTAGCTCACCCTCTGCCAAAACTTACGATCCCCAGTTGTTTCCACTGCGTCTCACCAATGGCTGTGAACGCACACATGAGGGGTCCGCCTGAATCACCCTTAAAACAAACAGGCCCTTCAGGCCCATAAGTCACACCTTAAGAAAAGCAGAAAACAATAATGCTCAAAAACATGAGACTGCCAATTCTGATGCAATAATACATTATGTTTAACTGCACAGTCAACATCAAAATTTTAATTATGCACAACAGGTAACACTGATGAAAGTAAAAGCATAAGGCTTTAGGCCCATCAGAGTTCAAGTTTACAATTAGAAAGTGCCAGAATGAGAAAAATGAAAATTTCAAAAATGCATAAATTTAATAAAAATGATAATCCAATAGAGCTGGTTTTCTAATATGAGCTGTATGTCAATCCTAAGAACCATTCTTTTAAGAATAGTTAAAAAAATAGAAAGTAACACTTTACTTTACATAATATTAATGGTGGCAGAGCACAAAGTAGGTGTTTTGTCAATTTTGATGCTAATTAAATACCACCAATTTTAAAATATCTACTATTAAAAACATGGACATTAAGAAAATTTGATTACCACTGGGCTTCATGCCCAAAGGAGCTCCAAGTCCCACATTGAAAATTGCAACATGTGGAAGATAAAAATTTTCACAAAAAACCTGTATTACTTCCAAACAATTAACTAATGAGACAATTTTTCAACTGAAGCTGTATTTCAGTCCTATGTTACTTTCCTGTAAGTGTGAGAAGTGACATGGCTTTCCTTTCACCGCCACTAAGGAGGCAGAGCCCATAATAAGGTTTTGTTCAATTTGGATGCAATATTGCAATATTACACAATGCTTAACAGCATAATAACCATAAACTTTTTAATAATAAAATAAAAGTATCATGGATATTCAGAAAATGTGACTAGCCCATAGAGTTCAGAGTCATACTTTGAAAATCCCAAAATGTAAACAAGAGAAAACTGTATTGAAAGAGTTTATTTCCATTTTCAACACCTTTTTTACATAAAGCAAAATAATCAATTTACTGTCATTTTTATATGATCAATCAAACAATAAGTTGTCAAAGCGAAAATATCAATAGAACAATTATAAATGTCCAACTTGCTCCATTCTGAGATTCTGAACATAGTGAATGGTTGAATCTGACAAACTGTAAAGATATGAGTTTTTTTTCCATTTTACTTATTACACAATACACAATATCAGGTTTACCATCATTTTCATATAATCAACTAACAATGTTGTTAAGATGCAGAAAATGTCAAAAGAACAACTTAATATATCTAATTAGTTCAAAAATGAGACTGTTAACATGCCCGAGAATTAAATTTGAGGAAAAAACACTTATATACAAAAAAAGGCATAACTTCACCAAACCTTTACTGATCAAGCTTATTTTCAAAACTTAATCTGTATTTCAGTAACACTGATCACTACTGTGAATTTCAAGACAATTGGCCAATGGATTTTCCTTAAAATGTGTTATAGGTGTTGCATATAGCTGAAAAAAGTGAAAAAACAGCAAAACTTTTATAAAAATGCCCTGATCGTGCCAATTTTAGAACTTGACTTGCGTATTATAGATATTCATCAGTTCTGTAAGTTTCAAGCCAAAAAGTAAAGCGGTTTTTCACTTATCGTGTTATCAGGGTTGCATATATGTTGAAAAAAGTCTAAAAAAACAGCTGACTTCCATAAAAATGTTCCTATCATGCTGATTTTCAAACTTGACCTGCGTATTATGAATATTTATCAGTTCTGTAAGTTTCAAGCCAAAAGGTAAAAGGGTTTTTCACTTATTGTGTTATCGGTGTTGCATAAATGCTGAAAAAAGTGAAAAAACTGCATAACTTCCATATAAATGGCCCGATCATGCTGATTTTCGAACTTGACCTGCGTATTAAGAATATTCATCAGCTCTGTAAGTTTCAAGCCAAACAGTAAAACGGTTTTTCACTTATCGTGTTATCCCTAAAAGTGCACGGCGACGGCGACAACAGCGACGACGGCGACGACAGACGCAGGTGATGGCTATATGTACAGACACATCTGTGTCTGTACATAAAAAGCGTTAATTTATTTAGGGTATTTTTTTCTCATGCCCCCAAAAAGAGTACTTTTTTGCATAATAGTACCAAGTGAAAAATTAAACATAAATTTATACTGTGATTGACAATTAATATGAAATTAGGGGAAATTGTCAAGAAACATCTTCAGAGTTCATTATTAATCTAAATAGCGGGTATGCCCACCCCGAGCTTGGATAATGGCCGCCAGACGGCGTGGCATACTGTGAACTAGAGTTACAGCTCTTTGGAGAGGAATTCTGGTCCATTCATCTTGAAGGGCATCTCGCAGTTCATCTAGATTTGCAGGGGGAGGCACGACCAAGTTCGTCCCACATGTGCTCAATTGGGTTTGCATCTGGGCTTCTTGTTGGCTGTGACATCAGCTGAATGTTGTTTTGTTGGATATAGTCTGCAATTAAGCGGGCTGTGTGGGGAGTGTATATGTATAAATCGAAATGCAGCAAATGTAATCTCAATCTTATCTATTGTAACATATAAACATACATGTATTGCGAATACATAACTTTGTAAAATGCACTTTCGTTTCTTATATACGTAAAAGGGTATTGAACAGAAATGTTTTGTTTTTTTTCACACAAAATCTCTTCAAGGATAATGTCAGATATTCTGAAAAATGATGTTTACATGTAGTTTATTTATTGCTTATTCAATTGTCTACACTATAAGTAAACCCTTGCCAATAATTGAAGTTCAAATTAAACATGGAAAATGTATTCAGCGGATATGTTATAGTAACAGTGTCTCTAAAATAAACCCACTGTCCCACCCTAGGAGTTGGGGTTGTTAATCGAATATCCAGAAGTTATGCTACTGCATAAACTCGTGTACACTTCTTAGCTTTATCTGTCACTGGATAGTTTAGCAGCCGTTTCTCTTCCGAAACGCCACCCAACCACTGCGGCGTCCAGTCCATCTGGGTTGGGCGAGAAGCCAACAATATGACGTACGTTGACTATAGGTTGCCGCTTTACATTCTGCGTTAGGCCTATATATGCATGCTTCTTCACATTCCCTCTCGCTGATGCCGCTTTTGGTCTCAATATTTGGACCGTTGACATAATATTTCGAGTCCAGTCTTTCCATTGATCCACAGGCCCCAAAGGCTGCAAAATATTAGATAAAATATTTTCTTACCTTAAGCAAGACAAACGAACAACCACGTCCTTGTAAACTGTTGGGCACAAATACATAAGAAAAATAAAACACTTCAATTCAAGTGTTGAAAGAATATACATGTTTTTTCAACCTGAAACAGTGCTAACAGATGTAAACTCCAAAAAGTTGCATATCATATAAATCTATAGTGAAGAGATAATGAGGATCACATAAGCCTAGTTTGTCCCGTATGTGCCAACTCACCAACAGTTCTCTCAATCCAGTTAGCCATTTTTCGGACGTCAGTGTAGACCCCGGGATAAGAGGGTCTAGCACACCCTTTGCCAAAACTAACGATCCCCAGTTGTTTCCACTGCGTCTCACCACTGACTGTGAACGCGCACATGAGTGGTCCGCCTGAATCACCCTAAAAACAAACAAGGGTGTCACTATTTTAATAAATTAACCCTCTTTTAATGAGATATTGTCTTCGCTTCAGCAACGGAAAAAACGACACACTTGTTAAAAAAATATAGGCCTATTCATATAATGTAAAAGGCACCATGGATGAAATGAAGGCCTATTTTACTATTTTAGAAAAAACAGCAAAATAAAGATTTACACGTATTGTTGACTGTAAACTAAGGGTCCATGTCATGTCTACCCTGTGTTTTATAAAATTTCGAGGTATTTATACGTACTGAACAGGCGTCTGTTGCGGGTTCGGCAGCGCATAGCATGTCGTCCGTAATTTCATCTCTAGGATACTGAGAACTGGCACGACACGCTTCCGCAGACGAATATCTCACTGACGCTTCCATTAAAACGTCGCTTGGTTGTGTGGTTCCAGAAAAAATCAAAACATCTTTAAAACATAAAAATCTGTAAGCTGGAGTGATGCACAACACAAATAAATGAACATGCGCCCAAATAACAGAAAGAAAAATTATTGTAGAAACTTTCACTGATGAGGGGAAAAAAGCAGATGGAATTAATCTCAAGTCACACAATTATATTTGCGTTGGATCTTCAATCAGCAAGAATTCAATTTTCCGAGAAATACATTCCTTTCATAACCGATGGATATAATAATTATATCAGTAGAAAATATCATGACGATCTATTAACCGGTTTCTGAGTTTAAGGTTTCTAGTTTCAGATACATTTAGTGATGGAGATGGGAAAAATATAGAAATTAAAAAGTCCGAAAGGGAACTGGTAATTTTTCGACGTCAGTAACGTATGGTTCTTCTTTTAAGGTCATATCCTGGGCAACAACCTACATTTAAATGAATGTATTCCCTCTCCACATTGTTTCTCTAAAAGTAGACCTAATTCCAAACTTACTGAAGTTTGTGACGCCCCATCCGGTAACTTTGCACAGCGTTCCATCTGGCACATACGTGTCTGCTCTAACAGGACAGATGGGGCTTATTTCATTGGTGTATTCTACAGGTTCAGAAAGCATTAATAATGCCACGTCGTTGTCAAAAGTGGCCGCTTTATAACTGTTGATGACGTAAACCTTGCTCACAGTCCTCTCGACCACTGCTGCGGTTGTGGCTCGTCTTGACCGACTGTGGACACCCAGCGACACGCAGATCTCGTTTGCTCGCCATTGGCGCTGATAGCGACAGGAGTGGCTGAAGGATGACGGGTGGTTTGCAATAAGACACATACATTTGAAAAAGTTACAATTTCCTCCCATTTCTGAAGTTTCAATTTAGCCATTGCAATTGCTAAAAGGGGGAAAAACGGACAGGGCCTAACTTTCGCACCGGGGATGTTATGCAATCAATGGCTAGAAACGGGTGAATTTTTATCCAGTCGATCCAATAATAGGCCTATTTGATTGATCCTTGACATTACTTGATTAAAATTCAAGATTAAAAGTATCAAATGCTTACAATATGCCTCGACTTTTATAAAGCAACAATTTAATTTTCCTAAAAATTTCAACATTGGTAGGCTTATAGATATTTATGGTGTTTTCTTAACCCCATAAAACTTAAAAGCGTTAGTATTCGTGTCCTATCTGCTTACAAGCCTATTCATCGGCGCTAGCTCGACGTGATCAATGTGAAAAATGGAACAACAATCTATACGGGACGTCCCGCTCACAGTCCGCCGTATCATTATATGTGCCGATTGGGTCTTCACACTTACGGTGTATGTAAGCAATGGGCCGCAGTAAGAACCATGTTGTTCATAATCAAACTCGCTCCACATGACCTTTCACATGAAGTTCCTGGTCCAAACTGGATGTAAGCCATCCATGGCCAGGAGTGGGGGAACGCCTCCTTGCCGTTTATTATTCTTGGCAAACTGGGCCGCGTTCCACATCTGGTGCATGCTAGATGTGAAAGTATAATAACAATAATAATAATATTATTATTATAGTATCCAATATGGAATTCACTTGTGAGCATTCAATCAAAGGGAAACAAGGCAGCAAAGCTGTCAAATGTACAGACAAAAAGCAGAAAATAAAAATGCAGAAAATAGGATACTGTCAATTCTGATGCATTAATGTATTTTGCTTAACTGCATAGCCAACATCAAATTTTAATTCTGCGCAACAGTGGATTAGGATGAAAGTTAAATGTGTAACAAGAATTAGACTGAGTTCCCATACCTAGATCAATCTAACTCCAAGGGGTTTCTCACTAAATTGCTTTCAGCTTAAGCAGCTTAGGATTCTGGCATGCCAGTTTCAGTAGGCGTGACAGACAGCTAAGCCACTTACATTGATTGCAATTTGGGGGGTATGTCAATCCTAAAAATCATTCTTGTAAATTTAAAAAATACAGAAAATGTTACAAAGTAACAGTACAGGGCTCCTGGTGGATGGGAGTGATAAGTTACATCTTTAAAATGCCAGTTTGAAAAATGAAAATTTAAAAAAGGAAAAATTACAAAAATATTCCACTAAAGCTGCCATTCAGTCTAGCTGTATTACCATGATATGAATCATCCAACTTGAGTTTAAACAGTGTAAACAACTCATAGAAATAAAATATTTTTTTTACCACAAAAAGGACAGTCATAGCTATTATTCTGATATCTGAACTTGTCATCAGACCATGTGACCTCCATAGATGGCTATACTCTGTAATAATCTCTTAAGAGATTATAACAAAAAACAAAAATGCTTTTTAGAAAAAATAATTCTTTTTTTTTTTTTTTGCCAAAACGAATAGTTATTATCCCTTTAACTGCAAAGTCAAGTTGCAAATATTGCACAACAGGTAGTATCAATAAAAGTGAACTGTTACATGCCCTTGCATTGGAAGTTATAAGTCTCACACCAATATGTGAAAGATAAAAATTTCACAAAAATGTACAACAGAATAACATGACCATATCACATAATGAAAATCCCAATATGTGAAAAATGATGACAGTGCTAAAATAATATTACACAATGTTTAAAGACATAAAAACCAACACAACTGCTAATGTGGAAATACAGAAAATGCACAGCGCTTCTGGTGGATGGGAGTTAAAAGTGACATCTTGAAGATGCTAGGGTTTGAAAAATAATCTTAAAAAATGTAAAATAAAACATATCCAATAAAGCTGCTATTTAAACTTTAAATCTACCTATATAACTATAAACATAATATGAATAACCCTATTGAATTCGAGAATGATAAGACACTGTTATTCATCTTTATCATTAATGTAAGCGTTACACAAAATTTTTCTTTTGTAAACTTATGTTCAATATAAAACAACATTTACCTGCATAATATCATCGATTCCTAATTATGTGACACAGTTAAGAGAGCTAAACCTATGGGACTTTACAATGAAATCTCAAAGTGTGTTTTATGTAATCTCATTTAATGGCCACTTGAAAATTAATTAAGCAAATCACTTTATAACCCTGATTTTAGCTAGTGATCACCCAAGGGGCAACAACATACTGCCGGCTATCCATATACATTTATTGCACCATATAGCACTCTATAGAACTGCATTGCCTCCAAAACAGAAAACAATCACACTGATTTTCCAACACAAGCTGCACTTCAGACCTATAAAACTTTTCAGTAAGTTTCAGTATCATAAGTAACATGGTTTACCCTTAATCGCTATCCTGGCAGCTGTGTCCAAAATAATGTTTTCTTCAACTTTCATGCAATATAACATAATGCTTAACAGCATAATGACTATCAATTTATATTCAATTCAATTCAATTTATTTCTGTACTGGTACATAGATTGTCATGACCTTGTACAATATGATATACAAATGACGATACAATACAGTTAGTGCATTACCATCTTTATATAATGAACATAAGTACTAGTAAAATTACTCATAAAATATTCTATCTAAGCAATGAGATAAACCTTGGTGTGATTATAAATTTACCATAAACATACTATAAACATGTTACACAAAAAGAATATGTTTTTAAAAAACTTAAAACCACCGTTACATAGCTGTTTACATGGCTGTTCAAGGCCAGTTTGACGACATTGATAATTACGATTAATGACAATTACATAAGACAGATAAGTAAATAAGTTACACATATATAAATATTGTGCCATGTTCAGTCCCACTGCCGAGTCACTTCTCACAACAGTGGGACCATACACTGACATTTTAAGGGATATGCCAAGAGTTACCAAGCAGAGCAACCACTTCACTTCTTTTCTTGAATGATTTGATTATAAAGTTGGATAACTGTACTGAAATGATTTTCTTTCCATTTTCAACACCTTTTTTTTACATAAAACAAAATAATCAATTTACTGTCATTTTTAAATGATCAACTAGGAAAATTGTTGACATGGGAAAAATATCAAAAGAACAATTTTAAATGTCCAATTTGCTCCATTCGGAGATTCTGAACATGGTGAATGACTGAATCTGACAAACTGTAAAGATATGAGTTTATTTCCATTTTTGACACTTTATTACACAATACACAATAACAGGTTTTCCATCATTTTTATGTAATCAACTAACGATATTGTTTAGAATTGTTAAGATGCAGCAAATGTCAAAAGAACAACTTTACATATCTATTTAGTCAAAAAAATGAGACTGTTTACTGAGAATTAAATTTGAGGAAAAACACTTATATACAAATAAAAGCATAACCTCACCAAAACTTAACTGATCAAGCTTATTTTCAAAACTTAATCTGTATTTTAGTAACATTGATCACTCCTTGAATTTCAAGACAATTGGCCGATCAATTTTCCTTAAAATGTGTTATAGGTGTTGCATAGATACTGATAAAGTGAAAAAAACAGCATAACTTCCATAAAAATGGCCCAATCATGCCAATTTTCGAACTTGACCTGCGTATTATGGATATTCATCAGATTTGTAAGTTTCAATCCAAAATGAAGAAAAGTTTTTTATTTATCGTGTTATCGGTGTTGCATATATGCTGAAAACAGTGAAAAAACAGCATAACTTCCATAAAAATGGCCCAATCATGCTGATTTTCGAACTTCACCTGCGTATTATGAATATTCATCAGTTCTGTAAGTTTCAAGCCAAAAAGTAAAACGATTTTTCACTTATTGCGTTATCGGTGTTGCATATAATATATGCTGAAAAAGTGAGAAAAAAAAACAGCATAACTTCCACAAAAATGCCCCGATCATGCTGATTTTCAAACTTGACCTGCGTATTATGAATGTTCATCAGTTCTGTAGGTTTCGAGCCAAAAGGTAAAACAATTTTTCACTTATCGCGTTATCGGTAAAAGTGCACGGCCACTGCGACGACGGCGACGACAGACGCAGGTGACGGCTATATGTACAGACACATCTGTGTCTGTACATAAAAACTGCAGAATCAAATTTTCAAAAATAAGTAGGCCTACCTTGGGCGTGCACATAGGCCATACTACAAAGCAAAATACATGTTTATGCAAGTGCATGAAACAATTTGTTCCACAAAAGATGTTCAGATCCGAGATGCCAAGAGAATTGCACACACTCTTTCATCTATAAAACTTTTTCAGCCTGTCCAACTTTTACTTTATTTGTTAAGTGCCAATTTGTATGTTTTAGTAAGTTCCCACAAGTTTTAAGCAAATAAGAACATGTGCACGGCTCCAGCTCCGGTGACTTAGACACAGCAAGGGGTTTTGCACCACTAGTACTGTGCCTATACATAAAACAGGTCTTTATAAATCTTCAAACCTACCTCTAACTGCTGTACTAAGAAAAAGTATTCCCCAAAGCACTTTAACGTATGTTTTTAAAACTACCATGATCTTAGTATGCGGCCGGCGTATGCTCTGCCGTAGTGTTCTATGGGTGTTGTTGAACTTTGTCGTCAAATTTAAAAGAAACATGACCGCAAATCATGGGCGTATCCCAGATTTGTTTCTAAGGATAGCAAGATTCGTTGAAATGCCTGTAAGCAAGCAAATTTGAGAATGTGCAAATGGGCACGGGGTTTGAGTGAACACGCCAGCAACAATGCGAGTCGTGCAGAGCTCGGTCATTATGACTAACTAGTGTGGTTTTTCTAGATTACCAAAAAAGGCTGTGTAATGTTTCAGATCAAGGAAGTACATACTTGACACCATGATGCAGAGCTGACAATAGGGGGAAAAGGTTGGCCAGGACCGATTAATACTATGTTAGCAACTTGGGATCTTCACAGTGGAAATGCTCCAGGGATTCAGCAAATCCACACACACTGCAATTGATATTGAGGAAGAAATTAATGCTAATATTGAAAAAATGTTCTGGGAAGAGTAAACTGATCCACAAAGCACCAGTCTAAAAACTTGTAGTCTCATAAAAAAGTCCTACAAAATTAAAAAGTACCTGCTGACCAATGCCCCTCAGTCATTAAAAAGGGAAGTGGCTAAAATTAGAGTCAGTGATCATAAACTGGAATTGGAAAGAGGACACCACACCAGACCTAAGACACCATGCGAGGAACGATTCTGTCCCCGCTGTCCTGCAATCGAAGTGCACATCCTTCTGGAATGTAGACACCATGTAAAAGAGAGGGAGGGTATTTTAAAACTATTCCCTAAATGTGACATGCAACACCTGTTGCAAGCAGTGACGAAAAGATTAAAATAATAAAAGCCCAGAAAATTAAAGAATTGCACGCGGTTGGTAAATACCTCCAATTTCGAAAAGAAATTAGCAACATGAGCATCTGCCACACTGAAGTATCCTGCTATTAAATATTGTATGTGCCATAAGCATGGCACATTAGTTACAAAGCTATAAGCCTATAAAAATTGTGTTCTGCCGGTGTATTGATCTATTTACAATTGTAATAAGTACTTTTAAACACTGTATGAGTAGTAATCCATAGTTTTATATATATATATATATATATATATATATATATATATATATATATATATATATATATATATATATATATATATATATATATATATATAGTGTAGAGGGCTAACAAATGTAACTGTCACATTTAATGCTCGAATAAGTTATTATTATTATTATAAATGAGGTCACGCAAGTATGGCCGAATATCCTTAAACATTTACCGGATTTTTGTTTTAAAAATGTAATAGATTAAACCAAGCATATATTTGTTATAGACTATTCGGACTCAATTCCTTGCGTCGTGACGTTTAAACGTTTGGATGAACGCTGTAGAAGTAGAAATTAGAAGAAGAAGGAGAAAAAGAGGCAGAAATGATTCTAGCATTTTTTTACGCATAATGTAACATAACATCATATATATGTATAAACCGAAATGCGTCAAAGGTAATTTAAATCATATGTAGGCCTACTGCAACACAAACAGATTGCAAATTCATTACTTTGTAAAACTGCACTTCCAGAGCAGAAACGTTGTTTTCAAACAAAATCTCTTCAACAATAAATATCAGATCTTCTGAACAAATGATATATACATGTACTTCATTTATTTCCCATTCACTTGTCTATGTTATATGCAAATCCTTGTCATGATAAATTATGTAAGTTCAAATTAAACAGGGAACATGTCTTCAGCAGGTATCTTTTTATAGTTTCACTGTCTCTAAAATTTACCCACTGCCCCACCTCAGTGAATTGGAGCCGTAAAGCGAATATTTATAATTAAGATATGCTACTGCATAATAAACTCATGTACCCCGGCACATTCCTTAAGCTCTATCTCTCACTAGACAGTTTTTTAAACACTTTCTTCCGGATCGCGACCCAACCACTGCTGCTTCCAGTCCCTCTTGGTTGGGCGTTAAGCCAACAATATGAAGTATATTGACGATAGGTTGCCGCTTTACAGTCTGCGTTATTTATGCACGCCTCTTCACATTCCCTCTCGCTGATGCCGGTTTTGGTCTCAATATTTGGACCGTTGACATAATGTTTCGAGTCGAGCCTTTCCATTGATCTACAGGCCACAAAGGCTGAAAAACATGAGATAAGATTTCCTATTATTAGTAAGACAAACGAACGATGACGTTGTTGTGAACCGTAGAAGATAATAAGAAAAATATTTCATTTTATTCACAATTTTAGCGTTTCTCATTCTAAATAGGCCTCAACAGTGCTACGATCCATGTCAAACAAGGTTTTTACATGTAGACCTAGAATTATATTTTCTTGGAAATTCGTTCCCTTAAATAGCCAAAGTAGCCTATATTATATCTAAGACAGTTGAAAATATTACGATGATCTATAAACCTCTAATTTTCGAGACACTGTAGAGATGAAGACGGTAAAAAATAAAAACTCAGAGCTCCGAAAGGGAGCTGGTAATTGTTTCTCGACGTCAGTAACGCATGGTTTTCCTTTAAGGCCCTGCCCTGCATAACATCCTACATTTATATGAATGTATTCCTTCTTTACGTTGTTTCTCTAAAAGTATACCTAATTCCAAAGTTTGTGACACCCCATCCGGTAACTGTGCACAGCGTTCCTTCAGCCACTTTCGTGCCTGCTCTAACAGGGCAGATGGGGTTATTTCATTGCTGTCTTCTACAGGTTCAGAAAGCTTTAACAATGCCACGTCGTTGTCAAAGGTGGCCGCTTTATAACTGTTGATGACGTAAACCTGAATCACAGCCCTCTCGACCACTGCTGCGGTTGTGGCTCGTCTTGACAGACTGTGGACACCAAGCCACACTCTGATCTCGTCTGCTCGCCACTGGCGCTGATAGCGACAGGATTGAATAATGTATAGTTCGCAATAAGACATTCACATTTTAAAAAGTTACACATTTCACCCTCGTTTCAAGAGGAATCGCAATTGCTACCGGAAAAAAGCAGAAAAAAAAACAAAAAAAAAAAAAAAAAAAAAAAAAAAAAACGGACGGCACCAGTGATGTTGTGGCCCACCATTTAGATAAACGTCCCAATAAAATATTCGTCCCGATAGATACGTCTCTATACATACACGTCTCAATAGATTTACGTCTCGTTAAATTTACGTTCCGATAGATCCACCAACAGATTCCTATAAACCCACGTATCTTTAGATCCAGGTACCGCTAGATCCATCTATCTGACATCATAATCGGCTAAAAGGCCGATATTCAACTTGAGATACAGGTATGAGGCTTTCGAGTGATAGTCTGGCTCCGAATACTGATCCACTTAGCTAGTGATCTGACTTAATTACAACCTGATATTTATAATTTATTCATTTATTTATGTATTTATATATTTATTAGGTGTTCAAACAAGACATGCATGTACGTTCGCGTCTACACGTCTATCACACTCTAAAGTTCGGGAACGCGTCATAAACATGAAACAGAACACATGTTAAGTGTGCAAATGTTACATTTTGAGAACGCTTGAAACAATGTTCTGGCGCCAGAACACTGAGCGTTGTGAAATATAGAACACTTTTTTTTTTTAGAACACATTTACATGTAAATTCAGAACACTTTTTACGTGTTCGAATGTTACAATTTGAGAACGCTTTAAACAGTGTTCTGACGCTAGAACAGTAAGCGTTGTGAAATATAGTAACATTTTTGTTCTTTTTATGTTCTTTCACTGAGTATTGTGTGAAAACGATCTAGTAGAATAATATATTGCTGAAAGTATTAATATGTGTACTGTCGTTTTAAAGAATTGCATTTTATGTACTGAGTAGTATACCAACCATTTTGAGCAAAAGCATACCTGTAATGGATCTATCGGTATTTGGATCTCAAAATACGTGGATCTATAGGTATGCGGGTTTAAAGGACGTGGGTTTATGAGGACGTCGTATCTATAGGAACGCAAATATATAGGACAGCAGTAAAAAATCGGATCTATCGGTATTTAAATCTAAAAAACGTTTTTTCAGTTTTTCCTTCATGTATCTATCGGTAACGGGAGTATAGGGACGTGTTATATTTTGGGACTAAATAATTAATTTTATCCGTACGTACCCGTGCAATTAGTGGGTTCCAGTAACCGGTATCTCCGGGACCACTGAAATTCCGCGTGTAGAGTCAACCAGTGTCAACTAGCGCATTTTTCTTACGTCTTTGTCTCTACTAACACAATTCTTTCTTCTTACGGATTTCATGGTCTTATGGCAACATCTGAGCATTAAAACTTCAATAGGCAACTTATTGGCAGTTATGGTAAGTCTCTTAAATAATTTAATTAAAATGTGTACGTTGAGTCTTACGGAAAATAAATCATTACAAAATTATCAACTAGAAGTAATATGGTATTACTAATCAAACTGCTTAAAAACATTTCCATACAAATACATATTTTATTGACATCTTTGAATACCTAAACAAATGTTTTCAGAACGCAATGTATTGATAAAGTAAAATTTCCATAACACAAATGAAGTGTGTGCAAGGTAATACACATTTGAAATAAGTACTTCACTCTCATCTCACTATGGGCGCATTCCCATAGATTTTACATCGATCTATCCCCGTGGGAAGTCTCACTAGATTACTGTCAGATAATCCGGCTTGAATGTCCGTCCCGCCTTCTACAAGCTGTCAGGGGGTAATTAACTTTCATGCCCGCTCAGCTGACAGCTATTTTATCGTGAACCCCCAGGGAGTTAGGTCAATCTAGTAGGATCAATCTAATCTCTGGGAATGGGGTCTATGTGTGCTACAAAAAAGACCATGCTTGGTGAATGATGAATGTGTACTCCGTTCTCCTCATAAGCAATTGTATTGTACATCTCTTCATTCTAATGTCCTCCATATCTTGTCCTTAACAAAATTTTAAAATACAATACACATTGCGTTAAACACACTCAGTGATACAGAAATGATGATGTTATTTCTAACGTTTGTTTATTGAAGTTACATAAAACAACTTTACCACAACAATAACTGAACAAAATGAAACCTTAACTAAAAGGTAGAAATAAACATTAAGAAGTCATTTGCTTCATTACAAGAAAAGAAATGGGTTGCATTTTAGTCAAACAAAAGCAATTTACCAAAATTACATCGTAGTCCTCTTTTATTTCCGGTTATATAGTTAAATTAACTAGATGCGATGTCAATACATAAAATAAAATGTCTAACATCAAGATATCATACCAACAATGTTTATCACAGTTTTGCTAAAATGTACGATATCTACATTAAAATAGTGTTACTACAATGGCATTTAACAATATACTATAGGTTCATATCTTTAACTAGATTGAATAAGTATGACCGATCTTAAGGCTCATGCTCAACAAAACTATCATCTACATAGATCGATTCAACTCTGCTGGAACTCATGCTGAATGCAAGCAGATTAACACTCCTCTTCTTGTTTCCAATGTACTAGTGTAAACACCCGCTTTTTGTATTCTACGCAGCAGGAGGCACATTAATCTGTTAATCTGATTGCATTCAGCAAGAGTCCTCACAGAGTTGGATCAATCTATGAAGGATAGTTTAATTGGGCACCAGTCCTTATTTCAACAGCGGCACCCCATAGCGCCAATAATGACCACTCGGGCATGGGTTACATGCAAGATTAGGCGCCCCGTGATCATCAGTTATGGTGTTGAGCGAATTGAGCTGGAAAGCAGCACACTTAGAATATAAAGGACTTCCCTGAAGCAACAATTTAATGATATAGTTTACATACACACAAAGAGCTACTTCATGCAAGCTTTTTGCATGCTACAAATGCTCAAGTTTGCAGAAATTTGGACCAAAAAAATTTTTCTTTCCAAATTGTGTGGAACTAGGAGTAATCGATGTTAGGAAGGGTCATGCAAATACTTGGTAGCAACTAAAGGTTTGAAAAAATAATACAGCAGCTACATTAAATACAGTTTTTTGTAGCAAATAGAATTATTCTGCAATTAAGCTTTATATATCTATATACTCTGACGGAAGACAATATTACAAAACCACTTTACAAAGAATTACAATCAACATGTCATTAGTTGAGTAGCGTAACATCTAATAAGTCTTTTAAAAACACCCTTTAGACTACTGAAACCAGAAAATTTTCTAATATTTCAATTTTCTAGTGATCTTATGGAAATATTTGTTTTAGCATTCAAACACACAAAACTGTTTGCAACTAGTACCACAAAATAATGTTGATCAAATCACTTGATATAACTAATACGTGTATATTTGTTCGCTTTGCATGATTATATTCTAACATTTGTGACCTACTAAATCTATGGCAATAGGCAAATAGTTACATGATTTATTTTTAAAAATAAACTTAACCAAACTTAATGACAAATTTAGTACAATCATGCATGTTTCTGGGTACAAACATCTCAAGAGCAATGCATGAAGTTTTGTCAATCACATTTGTGACTGGAATAATTTCCTGAAAATCTATATCATTTTTAACATCTTTAATTTAATGGAAGCAATGAAGACATCTTCCTATACAGCAGCTGTTCTTAAGAGGGTTTGGAGATATAGTAGTTAGAACAAAGTGATGGGTTTGTCAAAATCTTTAAAAAAAAAGTGACCATGAAGTGGTTGTCTAAATTAGTTGTCATAAGCTGTGTCTCTAGTCAAGCTGGGCCCACCTAAGTCACAACAACTCATCCCAGCATGCCATCTGATTATATTCACAGGGATGAGACTGCCACTTAGTTGAAAACGTTGCGTGGGTCCAGGGGGCCTGCCTGGGCCAATGACATTTTTGGCTCCCAAAAACTCCAAAATTTGCCGATAGTCGGAAAAAATCTCATCCCTGTATTCAGCTAACTAGTGGAATATAAAAATCTAACTCTGTGTTACTTGCTGTTATAAAAATGGTGTTGGGTGAGGCAACAAAGGAATCATAGCTTTGTTACTATGGTGTTTTTTATCTTATGTGGATGACCCACTGGAGTTGGATCACAGTGAAATAGGTCAAACCAACTTGACTGGAAAAAATATCACATCAGTGATGTTGTGCTTGTTGTCAGATACATCATGTTCTAAAAGTCAAATAAAGTAGAGAAAAATACATCAAATAGTTCACACTATAATCATAATGCCTCAGTATCACCTTATTCTAAGCCAAGTTTCAGAGCTTATAGGAAAACTACCCGCCAGAACAGCTACTTTGTCCCAGAGAAAATTAAATTTCTTTGTAACTACATGAAATGTATGTAAGATGATCTCTTCCACTTTAAAGCTAACTGGAGGCCCATTATCTCATTCTGTAGGCTTAATTCCTCAAGGCTCTCCAAAGTACAGATTTTCAGGTATAAGAATGTTGTATAAACACCAGTGGATTGTTCTGTTGGCAAACGCACAAATGCCTAGGAAAATTATCAATTCAATATCAACAAAGTGAATTGTTCTCTCTATAATTATAGCTCTATTAATGCATGGTATATTGTTTATTAAAATTATTTTGTTATAAGATCTGATACTCCAGGTAATTTCTAAGAAGATTTAATACTCAGGGTAATTTTCCAATAGGTTCTGATACTAAGGGTACTTTTTCTGAATCAGTAGGTTCTGACTTTAGAGGTCATTTCCAATAAGCTCTGATATTCAGGGTAAATTCCCAGTAGGTTTTGGTAGGCAGGGTGCTATATTTCACCCAAAGGAACAGCTAATAAAAAATGCAGTCTCATTCAAGCGCTCTATCAGGTTAACTGATTTCCAATCAGTTCTGAGAAATCTGTCTACTGATTCCTAGATTACTTGACATTGAAGCCAGAGAGCATCTATGAAGGCATTTACTCCCAAAACAAAGCTGATAAACCGAATCTCCCAAAGCAATGTTTTGTTGGTAGTACCTGACAAGGTTGATATACAAGTTTTCAAAAGTGAGTTGGAATATGTTACGTAGTATGTTTTGTAATTGATCAGTGTTGAAAATAATAGGACTTAAAATGTTGAGCTTTTTTTTTTGGTGTTTGGTAAGGTTGGTACCATTATCAAAATATTAAAAACTTTCCTTCTGTATGGTTCAATGTAAAAAGATGGCATAAATATCACACACGGCTTTTTGTGGCAAAATACACTGAGTCACCTTAAACAGGGTCTACATCTTTCTCCTTTTTTTTTTGGCTTTTTTCAATCTCTTACTTTAAGGCAATGACATGTTTACACACTTCAAAGTCATATGCTTCAGTAACAAAATATATCTGGGCACCTATTACTTGTCTCTATAGCAGCATTCACACAAACCATCTTCAGACTGAAAAGCAGCCAAACTTGTGTTATCAGATGTGTGAATGCTGCTTAAGTCAGGGCAGTTTACTTCACTTTCTGTGCCCACTTCATGTCATCACTTCGTGGCTTGGACCCTGTTAACTTCTCAATCAGGTCCTCAGCGCGTCGCCAGAAGCCGATCTTCTCGAGAGGATAGTTGAGCCATCCCGTGGTGATGCAGAAGTATGTCTCGTGCGGAGACACGTGGTGTATGCGGTGGTGCTTGCGCGGCAGGATGATGTGGAGATCCTGAAATATGGTGATGTAACGTGGAAGGCCAAAGTAGGTGTGGGACCACTTGTGGATCTGGAAAAACAGTTTGAAGAATGGAGAAATAAGATTTCTGAGACAGTCTGGTGATGGTTAAAAAAGGAAACGGTTTCTAAGCACATATTGTTATTTGATACAAGGTCCTTTGACCAATAGTCAAGATATAATACCACATAGGTAAAAAACCTGTTTAGTTTCATTATAGAAAGAATTATTTTTTTTACCAGTTTAAAAATATTCTTATATACTAGTACATATAAATAAAATTTTGTAGTTTTTTAATCTCTAGCTCAATTCTCATTATTTATTTGTACCATGACTATCAGTACATCAATGGCTATATGTATCTACTTAAGTTAATTTTGATGTAGTCTCTACCTGACGTGTTAATAGAAATAAAACTGTACAAACATTAATTTACTCAAACAATGACACCTTCTAACTACATAACACATATCTGAAAACTGCAGTCATTTAAATTCATTCCATATATCTGGATATATGTACAAATGATACACAGTCTGCCTTCTCACCTGATTAGTAATACTGACATAGAAAGCCAACAGATAAACATAACATTCCCATATATAGGTGGCTTGCACCTGGTCGGGAGAATACGTGGCAAATTTGAAAGCCATGTGCCCTAGGAAGGGGATGATGACGGCAAAGTTGTCCCCGTTTGTCTCAATGAAGTCATGGCGTGTGATGGACGTAGGGTCTATGTGGTGTTCACGGAATGGTCGTATAAGAGTCTGGAATGGAACGATGCATTGATAAGTTTACACTTAGTGAAATGATGATCATATTAAATGAATCGGTATACATAAACCACTCTAATAATTTGTACAAATTTGATTGTCCACATCCTAACCTCCCTTCCCAAAAATAATGAAAAAAAAAGTAAAGATTAGTAATAGTCATTGAAATGTTTTCCTAGTAACAAAGACTAAGCCATGTTAAGCCAGACGTTAAAACAGAACAAGTGTGGCATTTGAAATTCAGGAGTAATCACTGCATTGTTTGCTTTTCTACACATATTATTCATGCTGGGTGTATTCACATTATCCAACTTTTTATTGATTTTATTGGAACATTAATAAGGATCAATATGATTCTATGGATCTTGAGTAAGTTTAACTGGTTCAAACTTGTCTGTACTAAACATCTGTTGTTGTCACATGTGGCTCTTTCTCAGAACTTTCTCTACCATATGCACACACATCTGACAAAACCAGTAGCTTAAGATGCCTCAGGAAACATAATGCAATAAGAAAAGTAATTTCAAATCAAATAGGGAATATATAAGGAGTAAAGCTGACTTGTTAATCTCTATGCATTTTTAACCACATATTCCCTTTCCCTGGCCATTTCATAATATCCTTGCAAATTAATAACATGATTAAAAAAAAACAATTTTAACATATTGGAAAGTATCCCAGCAGTAATATGCCAAGCTGGGGCCCACATACTACCCGCCTGCTGGCTTCTAAGTCCATGTGGCTCATCCCAACTGGGACCCACATGGTACCCATGGCCAAGCTCAGCTGGCCTACAATCAATGACCCATATTGGCAGGGAAAATGAAGAAAAACTTGGTTCATTTATAATTATTCCATGTAGAATTAGAATATGCATTGGAAATTCTGAGTGGGAAAATTAAAGAAAATATAATATAGATTAAATGATTATATATTATAAACAAACAGATTGATGATTATAAAAAAAACTGACTTCTTCCTCAGAGTCTAAATTACATTGAAAAGCACTTCAATAATGTGAAACATAAGATGGACTAGCTAATTCATTACCTTGCCAATAATTGGTAATTCTACACTCCCCCAAGTGTCGGCTCCCCAGTGCACCAATCCACTGAAGAAATCGGCAGTGATACTACCCAAAACTGAAACAAGATAGAAACAAACAAATAAAGATACAAGGTTTTAACAAGAATCCTGGACATATGCACACACGCACCCACACACAAAATACTGAACAGGACAATGCATTTTTCAACACTCCCCTTAGCAGACGATATATAAGACCGCATTCACAACGAATAGAGCCAAGCTTTACAAATCCTGGGGACTAAATATGGCGGACGTACATGAAAGAAAAACCGCCTAATCTTTTAATGGTCTCTCCGCCTCTCACACGCCTCCCCACACGTCGTTCCTGCGGGGGGACAGTCATTAAATCTCGGCTCCATTGGGACGACACATGGGGAGGCGTGTGAGAGGCAGAGAGACTATTAAAAGATTAGGCGGTTTTTCTTTCATGTACGTCCGCCATATTTAGTCCCAAGGAATTGTAAAGCCTGGCTCAACTCCTTGTGAATGCGATCTTAGAGACAAAATATATGATAATATTAGAAATGAAGAATTATTGAGGGAATAAACATTCTAAATACCACACAACAAGATAATCATCCAGCTCTGAATAATCAAGATAAAGGCCGCATTCACAACCAGTTGATCCTTGGACTAACTAGTCCATAGATCAAATATGGCACACACTTGACAATAAATTTCAGTCTCACATGCTCCCCACCCAAGCAGGGGCGGAGCAATTAAATATCAGCACGCTTTCAAGTGGGGGTGCTCCATATTTGATCCACGGACTAGTTAGTCTACGGATCAACTGATTGTGAATGTGGCCATACAGTAGCCAGTAATAACTGTATTATCCAGTGCTCCTCTAGGGGGACCAATTTCTCCATCAAACAGTTTGCTCTTATTGGTTTTTATCCCCTGGATATTCTATTGACAGTCTACATAAAATAAGATGAAGCCTGAAGCACATGGCAATAATATGACAGGAAATGAAAAATCAATGGCAATCTGACAATTGAGGCCGACTTTGATTGAGTGGTCGGGCAGTCTGGGTCTGGCTCAGCGGGTACTTGAATTTGATTCAAATCTCAGTCAGGGAATATATATAAGTTATATATAATGTATGCATCTGTCTAAGAAGAAATGTTTTGGTTTTAATATAAGTGAAATACTAGTAACATTATGATTATCCATCAGTGAAGGGAGTTACTGGTGTCCTAAGGGAAGATATCTCAAAAAGTATCTGACAAAAATTGAAGACACTTATTCAGGAGTAAAAGAAGTGACTACAGTTTTAAGTCTCCTTATAAATAAGTTTTTTATTAACTTATTATTTTGCATTGGTCTGCAGTCTTTTTGTGTGTGTGTGTGTGTGTCAGAGAGAGAGAGAGAGAGAGAGAGAGAGAGAGAGAGAGAGTGGCTTCTGAGGAACTAAATAAAACCTAACAAAATTCCCAACATTTTTTCGCCAAGTTTCCCCCCTCACCTGCTGCCACTAAGATATACTGCCAGTTGTCTGCTTGGAAGTTCACAATAAGATGGTATAAGTTCAGCACCATGAGTCCTAGGCACACTACCACACACACCGTCTCCTGTGTTCTCTTACCTAGTAGAAGAAAATAATATCATTTCTTACTACAAAATGGTGAAAACCACACACAGATGTATACATTATGCTAAAAAGTGGTAATTGATAAAATATAGAAAGGCTGTTACAGCTGATTAAAGCTATAACCAGCTACTTAGTATTAGAATAAATCAGTAAATTAACAAATAAATATTAAGTAATTAAGTATTTCAACTTTCTACTTTCATAAACCCAGTTTCACATTCTTCAATATGACATTTTTTTCTCAAATAATAATAATAACATAATAATAATAAAAACAACAAATACATAACCAAGCTCTTCAATGCCTTTTTTACAACTAACCAAATTTAAGAGTGAAAGAGAACATGATATTAAGTTTATACTCTTAAACAAAAAAAGTATTGCAGCTTTTTCTTTGAAACCCAGTCAAAAATATTTGAAACATAAATAATTCTAAGTTATCCAATACTAATCAATTACTCAAAAATGACATTATCAATAATTTTGACTCACAATATTTCACTAATTCACCAGTTGGACTTATTTAATCAATCCCCCACACAAATCCTTCAACTGAAACCTTTTAGTCAGCAGTCAACTCTTGACAGAGTCCTATGATTTCTAACATGACTGGGTAACAATGTGTTATCACACACCCACTGTTATGTGATCAATACCCCCACAACACCACCAATATTTACAAATCCTAGCATGCTTGTCTATCAATAATATGTTACACAAGTAATGTATGAAGTAATATATTGATGAATTCACCCAGGATATGGTGCCTGCTTCCACACAAGCACTAGAGCAATGACTAGAGCAATATTTACACATCCTTGCATGCTTCGCCAAGAAACAAGAGATTACACAAGCGGTCCATTGATGACTTTTAGCACGGCATAAACCCATGCATGCCATAAAAAAGACTGCATGTCAATTTTTTATGCTCAACATGTGTATGCATTTATTGAAAATGTTTATACTACCTTAGTACATGCATTGTCAAGTCTTAAATGAAAAATAATTTTACAAACAATAAACCTCTGCTAAAAATCATTTTCACATTAACTTGATAAAAATTTGCTCTAAAGAAATATTCCAATGTGAACTCTGGATCGTTTCAACAAAAACAGATAATGAACTTTTTTGCACTTTTTAATGTTTTTAAGTTTAAAAAATGCATTTATCCTTAATTTGCCATGATCTTTTTTTTAAACTACAAACTGCTTTTACCTGCCATAAATTTTTTTTTTCACTTAAATTGGTTCAGTTTTAACCAGTATTGACAAATGCACTTATGTACTACTGGTATATATGCCACAATTTTTAAGTCACAGTGACCCAGTGGAGAGGGCAACTGGGAGCAGTTCATCTATTTTAAATCCAATTTTCTGGTGTTCAAATAAAATATTCAAATAAATGTTGTACTTAAGAAAGTACTAATAGACCTGTATCCAAAGTCACCCATTCTGAGTATCAGAAACTGAATATTGGAAACTATTCATGGATTTTCCTCCATTTAATTCAACCACAGGAAAACAGAATTGATAGGTATTACAAGTTTGCTGCTGGGTAATAGCAAAGGTGTGTTTCCAGGTGATACTGACACCCAAGGTAGAGAACCCACACTAAATTACCCAGGAAGATGTTACCTAATGAACCACACGTTCTGCTTTAATCTGTTTAAAATAGCCACGATGGTTTTACTGTACAAACATGCCAAAGGGAACCCTTATATTCTTGGACTGCAGGAAATCAGTCTATTAGGGTGTGTTCATATTGAAACTATGTTACTACAGTAGGTACCTCAAACTAACTCTACGGGGAATCTTGCTGAATGCAGTCAGATTAACAAATCCTCCTTTTGCCTATGTACCCATATATAAACACCAGCTTTTCTGTATTCTAGTCAATGCCAGGAGACATGTTAATCTATTAAGCTGACTGCAATCAGCAAGAGCCCCCGTGGAGTTAGTTGGAACCAGCTAGCCCAATAGAATCATTGTGAATGTGCCCAATACTGTTTCCATAATAGGTATAACACAGTGTATGCTGGGTAGTGCTTTTAAAAAACTCAGAACCTCAGGGTAGTGATAAAGAACTGATGCAGCATATAAGGAAAGTTTGAAGGAGTTTGTAACCTTCAGCTGCTGTCAGACAAGCTTTAACAGACTGTCTGGGCTGGTTCTGTCACTTCAGAATCAATTCAACCTGAAGTGAAAGCTAGAATGTAGTCTGACTCGATCTGTAGAGATGTATTTGTAAAACATGTTACAGCCTGCTGTAATTGGTCTCTGACTATGAAATAAATATAACTTTTGATTTGTGTGAGTGAATTGGCATATTGGTGACAATAAAATGCCCAGGAACAAGATCAGAAAAACAATAAAGGCTAGGGTTATGAAATAACCACTTTCTTTGTTACACCATGCTTAATACTGCAAAAAAACTGTTAGGACAACTCCATGACAGCAAGACACAAATACACATTAACCTCTGCATTAAGAATGTCAGGTAAGAGTTCAAAGTCCATCCAGGTATGTTGTACCTGATGTTGACGGACATGAAAACTGACATATCATATAACAGAAGCCTGCTTCAATCATACCACTATTTATGAAAATTTCTGCAAACAACAAATGCAAAATTATTCCCTGGGTGCCTGACTTATCTGACTTTTGACTTGAAAATTTAAAACAAGACTGACTTTTTAAAATTATTTGGATAATATGAAAATAACATTGGCAATAAGAAATATCCCATATGCCTCTAAATAATAGACTGCTTGACACTCTTAAAATAACTTTGGGATAATAGAATACAATGAAATGTTTGATATTTTTGTTAGCACAAATTTTTTGGTATATTTCATTTAAAGGGATAATAACTCTTCCTATGAGGTCTATATTTCACAATAGAAACATTGTACACAACTCATAGAAATATAATATATTCTGTTTTACCACAAAAACAGCAGTTATAGCTATTATTCTGATATCTGAGCTTGTCTTCAGATCACGTGACCTCTATTGATGGCTATACTCTGTTATAATCTCTTAAGAGATTTTAACAAAAAACCAAACTTTAAAAAAAAAAAAAAAAAAAAAACAGGGACTAACTTTGAATGTAAAAATGGATTTATTAACCATTGATTAGTATGGAAAAATTGTTGTTTACTCCAGGAAAATTCATTTTTTGGCCAAAACAAAGAATTATTACCCCTTTAATATTCTTATTGTATTTTTTGGGTTTAACAAGTAAAACTCACTAGTATAAGCCATATTTCATTATTTATTGCCATTATCACAAAGTATATCTGTAATCTGTATGTAGTGACATGAAGAATGTTTTGCTAGTTTTGATGGTTATGTGATTTGGGATGGCGTAAACGGGGGTCATCACATTCCAGCTGTGGGTATCATGTCGGTTCAAAAACACATCATCATCAAGGTTGAATTTAATGCTACAGAAAACGAAGCGTGAACTTCCCCCATGTCCAAAGTCCACCCAGGTTTCACCACACCTGAACTGACAGCACAATGACAAATTAATTTATCGCATTTGTCCTGCTTATCCTCCAGATAAATTGTCAATATACAATTCCATAAATCAGGTGCAAACCATACAGCTTATTTAACCTGACGCCCACATGGCCTTGACTCAACAGTGTCTTTCTTTTTTTTTTTTTAACTCATAGAATGAAGGTGTCAGGTTCATGGCTTTCAACAGACAATTACGTGAGTGAATGTACAGGCACACCATGTTGTTACTGTATGCACAAAACCCAATGCCTCTGCTAATTACATGACAACAAAGCCAATGCTAAAATATGAAGTAAAGTATGTTTCATCTCTCGAAATAGCTGGGCTCTGATTATGGTTAATCTATATGGTTAATCTATAAAAACATCAGCAGGGTCATCTTTCCAAGCAAATCTCCAATTTATTCCACAGACCTGATGACACCCACTACATCAATCTCTCTCCTGAATGGTAATATCTTTTTTCCTGCAGTTTACGCACATTAACAAAATCATAATACGCAATTCACAGAAAGTGAACACACCAAAGAGTCAACCCCGGATTAATAAATCGACAGAGCAATCTTCAGCAGCCTTAAATTTTGCTCCAATAACAATTTTATCACTTATACACTGAACAACTACCACACAATCTAGGAATTGTAATAGGACCTTCTTAATGTCGGGAGCAGAACTCCATGCATAAATGAACGAGAACATTATTCACAAATGCCATCTTAATGAGTCTCTACAGACAAGAATCATTATATATGTATATATGTGAATGTGTACCAGGGTACCAGCATGGTTGCAGACCATAAATAACAGTGGGCTGTTTGCTAGCTATAGCAGTCAGTCACTATCACCACATTTTGTCTCTAATATTTTGCAAATTTAAACAGACCAGGGATATGGTAAATGAAATTGCAATTTAGGTGAGAAGGGGTAAAATTTCAGACACCCCCCCCCATCCCCCTTATGCATTAGAGACTATAAGTATACAAGTATCCCTTTCCACTACAGACTTCTTGTCATAAAGATAACTATTTTTTTATTTTATTGGAAATGAGAATACAGCTGTACAGGCTGGAACCAACTTCTGTAATTAATCAGATTCCGTAGACATTAACTGTCTTAAATACATTTATCTAGTACTGGCATTTCTTTCCTTTGTAAACTGGTTTTAAAATTTAACATATATTTCTGTACCTGTTTTCTCTTTTAAGTGTATACCAATCTGACTATTTATTGTTCTTGCTAACAATATGATTGCATAAATCAGGGGCGGATCCAGAGATATTTTCTGACGGTCTTCCAAAATATACTTGTTGATCCATCCTCCATTTTATACCTGTCAAATGTAAACTTGAAAATCTGACCGTCTTCCGGGAGACCCAGAAGACAGCCTCAATCCGCCCCTGTAAATGTTCAAAATTTACAAAGCTGGTGCTACATTGCAATATAACAACTCTCTCTGGTATAAAATTATTAAAACAAAAACTTGAAAAAAAATCTTTAAAAGCCTTAGAACCCAATCTACATCAATTTGATAAAATTCCACATGCTTGCCTGAGCCTTGAATAGCCTAAACAGTCAGAAACTGCTTACTATTCAAGGGATAAAAGAAAACCATCATGTCTAACTACAGACTAATATCCACTGAAAGGTTAGAACTCAAGCATCCAGAAAGCACTCAGAATTCCCAGGAACAACGATAAATCATCTAAATGGACCACCTTCCATAACCTCATTACTGAGAGGATTGATATATGACCAGGACCCTGACACCTCCAAACTATGCTTGTTCAACAGTTCCTAGCTGCATATGAAGAAAATTGATTGATTTGAACTCCCTAGAAACCATTATCTTTCTTTTATTCTTAAAATTTTTATCTGGGGCTTAAGTACTGTATTAAAGTCTGAATAGCAATTTGAATTCCAGTATGAAAGTCATTTTGTCAGTTACAAAATGGACTACAAATATCTTGATAATAAAATAAATATGGAATAAGTGACAGAAGTGCTTAAAAATTATGAGTAATTTATCACATTTGAAACTTAAAGTCTTTATCCAGCACAGACTACAAAAAGGTAGCAAGAGGTACCAAGAGCATAAGATGGACATTACTGTACAAAGCCAGCATTAACTTGTTTTGTAACTCAGGGTGCAGCATGCAGAGGGTTGTACGTATTACTTTAAAAAATCCACTTTCAGACCTCACCTGAAAATTCAATTTTCATCCCTGGGGAGTATATTTTGTTATCTAGAGAAGTATTTCAGGTTTTATCTGGTCTAAGCTTATAACCCCTGAACACAGGTCATAATTCGATAACCTCACATAAAAATTATTTCTTTTGGGTGCCTCTCTCATGCACTGAGTTTAGTGTATTACTCACATAAGAATGCCCATAACTCAGGTATATTTATACCATGTATGGCTGGGCATAAAATTTATATCTGGCATAATAAGTTGGACATCCAGTTTTTAGAGAAATAACTGAAAATTTGTTCATAAAGCCTCAAAGATAATCATTGTTTTCAAAGTTTAGTTCATCTGTAGACTTATTAGTATGCATGATGATATTGAAACAGCCAGGTACTACCTGTATCAAATTTCTGAATTTTTCTTTTTAATTAAAAAAAAAACAATAATATTAATAATCAAATCAAATCTATCCCTACCATCTGAACATTTTATTTTTTTATCAAAATCTTAATTTTAACTACAAAGACAAGTTATTTGGCCAAGACAAATGATATTAATAATTTGCATGCCCAACTCTGTAATACAAAATCTAATAAAATGGGAGTGCATGCCTCACTGCCCAGTGTTTCCAACCATATGCCTACCATCATGTGTCTGGATATTGCTACAGGGCTATTATAAAATCAATGTATCCACTGATAACAAGCATGCAATCATTCTAGGCTCTGATAAATATCTAGTATTGTAAATTACTCACAAACTTCAATCACCTCATTTATTCATTCAAATATTGTACGTGAAAAAAATGTTATATATATATATGATTCTTTTTTTATTGAATGCTATTTCTTGTATTAAAAATCCTATTTTGGAATTGCTAAACCTTTATAATTTTCAGATATTACTAACATCATATCAATATTCAAAATAATTCAAATTTATTGTTGAGTAAATGTCAGTAATTGCCATCATTACTTTTCAATGACTATGAAATATTTCCACTGAAAAGAAAATAAAAACACTACAGGGGCTCAACATCTTGAGGCTGGCACCATATTTCTAGATATATGTATATGTGATAAATAGTCGGGGAAGCATGACCACTATCATGCATAGAAGTACTTATCATATCAATACCAGGCGAAGATAAAATGTCTACCACCAGCTAGCCAATCCAGTGCATTAATTTCTGATCTGTCGAGAGCTTCTCAAGACCTTAATTACAAGCTTTGGCCTCTACCAGTACTTTGGATTTACCTTGGCCTCTACCTTAACATGAGGCCTACCTTTCCAAGCCCAAAATAGTGGATAAGATAAGTGCTGCACCCTGTGTTTACAATCGCTAGCTAACTTTCTCAATTTTTGAAGTTAAAACCTTCAATCACTGGAAAAGTCTAGTCTCCAGTATGGTGTAATGTGTACAAGTCTCCAACATGTGAATGCAGCCAAAGAAAGTGAATGCAGCTGAATATCACTATCACTTGATCACCTATATCATTTGCACGGGAATAAAGGCTGAGTGACTAGTCTCTACTTGAAATATTGGATTTAAACGAGCAGTCCTGATTGTTTTCTTCATGTCATGGCAAATAACTTAATTATCACTTGTTTATATAACATAATCATCAGTAAAAAAATAGTTTTCAGTACAAAATTGATTAAGTTCTAATGAATTAATTCAAATAAATGTCATGAGACAATATGGTTATTTAGCAGCAGCTTGTCATATAAAATGTACAGTAGTTTCAGTGCATGAAATGGATTTGAAATGCAAGCACAAATAAATGAAATCCTCAATAATAATATTGCTGCCGATAAAATTATTTAAGAAAAGCTGTAGTACCAAAAAAGTTAGGTAAATACATTTATTATGTAAATCATTTATGTAATTTGTCTTTCTCAGTTCTGTTTTACACAAATTTACTGTGCTTTGAAAAAGGGGGGTACCTTGCGCCGGTACGCGAATTTCTCTGTCAAATCACTGAAAAACCAAACACAAACAGGCACATTACAGCTATAACGCGTCAGATACTATCTACTGTCGTCTGTTGAAGCAAATATATATGTTAACGAACCAACAGACGCGACAGGTAAACGACGCGCCCTTCGCCTTGACTATACATAACGGATGGGTTGGGTCGAACCACTTATTATGACTACGGATGCACTTACTGCTAGAGTAAAGTCCCGCTAATTCCTGGGCTCCTTTGTGCTGTGGTCCCCATCTTGGAATTGTTTCTGTTGTTTCTCTCACGTTGTTATAATTTGGATCTTCTTCACTCATAGAATTTCGTAAGATTTCGTCCTCCGTCTTTGATGCCATCGCGATCATCCGATCTCCATGCACAATTTGCAGCAACGGAAATGCTGGTTTTTGATTGGTCAGGTCGAAGAGAAGCTACTTTTGCTGCGGACAACTTCCGGATTTATGGAAAGTGACAAGGCTGGGTAAGGCAACGATAACGTTTTGATAAAAAGCAATTAAAAGTTATTTATAAAATTTGGAAACAAATATGCAGATTTTAAGTTGGATGTATGTTAATTTGTGCGTGTTTTTACCTAAGTGTGTTTATGTGTGTGTATTGCCTCAGCAGCCTTTGCGTGTGTGTACCTGTAGGCTTGCCTCAGTCTCAGACACAGTTTTGGCGTTTATATTTTCTTCTCATCACAAGTAAAGCCTTGCTTATTTTACCCAGCAAAGTTAGGCATTAGGCATAATTGCTCAGACTGAGATAAGAAGGAATGGGAAAAAAGACCTTTTTTTATTAAATTATTTAAACTCTGCATCACGTATTAAAATAAATCACCTGGATCTGTTTGCAAGACTGTTTTGAGAGAAAAAAATGTTTCCATTTCATCAAGAAATCAATCTTTTAAAAATATCTTTACCTAAGGACATCCAGGATGTGTTTGACACTGCCCCAAACAGTTGTATTTTTATTGAGCAAAGCTTTATATCTTAATTTCCCCATTTTAACCTAATCTTTCTTGAGGAATTTTAGATATACATGTATACTAGTAGCACAAATATTTTCAGTTAAGATATAGTGAACCTTTTACTATCAGTGACTGCAAACTTGTCTGAGGTTTCTATACATAGAGGTGTTGGCTAGATTTTTTTGCCTTCCATTATATTTGAGATAGGAAACATTGGTAAATCACTTGGAAAGGTAGAAATTCATTGTACCCTTTATGTAGGTACTATATAAGTTATATGCAGTATTATGTTTTGTGTCGATGCATTCATAAGTAGTGTTGTCATGTGTTTTTTAGTATTACAAGAGATGCTTAAGAACATATGCCAGCAGTGCCACCTGTTGCAGAGTGTGAGAACTGTTATACTGAGACACTGTAGCACTGAAGTAGGGTCTCACAAGCTCGCGACAAAGAAAGTTAAGACCAGAGCAGCAGGAAACACAGTAAGTATTTTGTATGTTTATAATTGCAGTCTGGTTACTCAGTAATTAAACTATAACCTTGCTGTAACCAACTATAACCTTGCTGTAACCATGTGTACTGCAGGGGCAAATCCAGAGATATTTTCTGACAGTCTTCCAAATTATCTGTGTTGATCCTTCCTCCAATTTGGACCATTGTCTGACAGAAAAAAATTAAATGCTTGTCAGTGTAAATTAAAATACTCTGACTGTCTTCCAGAAGACCAAGAGTACAGCTTCCCTCTGCCCCTGTATAAGTATACAGTGAAAAAGTGTGAGCAATAGAAGCTAGTTTATTCTGGCTTTTATACTTTTAATGTCTTTGATTAATAGGAAATCTGACCAGGCTTAATTCAGTGAATTATATAATTATAGTCATAAATGGAAACAAATTTTAGTTTTGGCTGTGCTTTAAATGTTTTGGAGATAATAAAGATAAGCTTTTTTTTTTCTATTTTCAGAATGAATCATTTGCAGACCACTGTAAAGTACGAGTTAGAGGTGGTAATGGAGGAGATGGTTCAATGGTGTTCTTAAGGCAAGCCTTTAAGGAATTCGGAGGTCCCGCTGGCGGCGATGGCGGGAATGGTGGTCATGTGATCTTCAGAGCATCCAATAAGATCTCTAATCTCAACCTGGTCCGTGCTGTTTACCAGGCTGATGAAGGAGGAAGAGGAGAGGGAAATTGTTGCCATGGAAAGAGTGCAGAACATTTGTATATTGAGGTAGATGAATTGGTTGGAAAACTCCTCAACTGACATGTTGGATATGTTGTGATGAAGTAGATTCATCTGTTTAAGACTGGTACGTTTTATACTCAAAAGAAAGGTACAATAATAAATTAAGTCCTCTGCTGGTAATTTTTTTGTGAAATTTTTCTTTCCACAACACTATTCCTTTATCTCTCTCTCATGTACATAGGTCTTTCCAGGTATTATTAAGTTTAAATTGGTTGTGTTTTGATTTTAGGTACCAACAGGAACAATTTTTAAAGAATTAGAGACTCAGAAATTGGCAGCAGATTTGAGTTCTGAAGGTGACATGTTCTTGGCTGCAAGGGGCGGAGCTGGAGGGCGTGGCAACCATTTCTTTTTGTCCAATGAGATGAGAGTTCCTAGAATATGTGAAGAAGGAGGGAGAGGGGAGGAGGAGCAATATTTGGTGGAGCTTAGAGTAATGGCTAATGCTGGACTGGTAAGATATGCTGTTAATGAATTGAAACCACTGGTAAGGTATTATGCCTAAAGTATTTAATATGTACATACTAGTTCACACATCCATGTACTGGTGGCCCTTTGAAATTTAAAAAAAAAATTATACTGCATTTTATAAGAAGGGCCAAGATTAATATCCTGGCCACGGAAATTCTGATGGTCACCAGTTTTTCACCTCATTTTTTCTAAACATGCGTAGGTGGATGATTGGCCATTGCCCTTTTCCTTGTACTGGATATTTGGAAGAGGAGATTATTTTCAATTGCTTCTTTTTGTTTTGCCTCACTATACTATGGATTATCAACATGAGATATCATAGACACTGATGATGCTGATGTAGTTCTGAATTAGTAAATGATCGAAATGACATTAAAATACCATTACTTTTAATAACAGGATAACTGATAATCTTTATAAATTAAACCGTCTTTTTAGATAGGTTTTCCCAATGCAGGCAAGTCCACCCTACTGAGGGCTCTATCAAGAGCCCGACCCAAAGTTGCCTCTTACGCATTCACCACGAGGAAGCCTCACATTGGCATGGTGCAATACAACGATTACGCACAAGTGTCTGGTAAGGGTTGAGAGCAGGTCTCCTTTGGATGATNTTAGATAGGTTTTCCCAATGCAGGCAAGTCCACCCTACTGAGGGCTCTATCAAGAGCGCGACCCAAAGTTGCCTCTTACGCATTCACCACGAGGAAGCCTCACATTGGCATGGTGCAATACGACGATTACGCACAAGTGTCTGGTAAGGGTCGAGGGCAGGTCTCCTTTGGATGATGAAATTAATAGGCGAGGGGGGGGGGTTACGGGGATGAAAAAAGTTGCTTTGTTTTGAATAGAAAATAATTATACTCCTAAATTTAACTGTAAGTGTCTTGTTTGAACTGTACCATTTCTGCCTGATCTCTCTGTGTCCATTATAGATGTGGGAAAGGGATTTTAGGATAAAAAGACTGCCCAAGTATACACTTGGAGAAGAGCAGAATCTCTTAATTAAGAGGGTTGTGTTAACTGGTGTGGTGTGGGTGGGCGGAGGCAGTTTAATGCATTTTCAGTCCAGTTTTAACTGTTTCCCTTATCACTACCATTGTGGTAGAACTGATGATTTTGATTAGCTCAAAATAAGTAAGTGAATGATGAAATTGATAGATATTGATATGTAAAAATTGTACAAAAATTTAAATCAATGTGTAATTTTTTACACTTTCATAATGCAATTTAGAATTTTTTGAAGACTGAAAGTTCTTCTGTTTCCAACTTATTCCAGTTAAAATTGAATATCTTCCCCTTTTTTTTTAGGATCTCTAAGTTTACTGTACTCGATTGTTATTCAAGTTTTAGTTTAGTTTTGGCAGCCATGCATCAAGTTTATTTCTGTTTATTACAATAATTATTACATTTTACATTTTTTGTTTAATTCTCCTAGTTGCTGACATCCCAGGCCTAGTGACAGATGCCCACAAAAACAGAGGACTTGGTTTTTCCTTTCTGCGCCACATTCAGCGATGCTCCTGCTTGCTGTATGTCCTTGACCTTTCCCAAGAGGAGCCGTGGCAGCAGCTGGAGGACTTGAAATATGAACTTGAACAGTTTGAGGCTGGGCTGTCAGAAAGACCGCATGCCATCATAGGAAATAAAATAGATCTCCCTAAGGCCAGGAAAAATTTAGATTTGTTAAGAGAGAAGGTGCAGTTGCCAGTTTATCCAGTTTCTGCCAAGTTTTTATTAAATATTGAAGAACTTAAATGCCATATCAGAAAGATATATGATGAACACATAGACAAAAGTTAGAACTTGATGACATTTTAGAAGTAGCTCTTTGTTGAAAAAGAAAAACATATTTTTTAGAGGAGTCGACATTTTTATTGGAGTTTTATAGACACGTGAACAGTGAGGGTGAGGAGACATTATGTATTTAGGCCACATAATATTCTGAACAGGCTTTGCCAGAGTTCATAAAAAATCTTAACTACATTTTACATTAGTGCCCCCCCGAGTTTCAGAGTTAACTGGAGGTTACCCTCTTCTATCAGTTAATCCTGCTGATACTTACTGGTAACCTCAGAAATTTGGAGAATGGTGTCACTGAAAGCAAATGACCATATTTTTGGAGTTTGGAAATTTTATTTCAGTAGAACCAGAGACAAAATAAAGAGGATCATGATAAAGTGATCTGTTAAATATGTTTATTGTTTCCAGAAAATACAAGTGTGCAAGATTAACCATGCTAACAAGAGTTTATATTTTCTTAATTTACCAAACCTTCAGTATGTACAGAAACTATTTAAAATTATGAGTGGCTATATGCATTACTGCATATGACTGAACATTACATATATAACAAAAAATCCAACATAAAATCTTAAACTTAGAAACTTCATTCTTAACAATGTAGATTGTTTGAAGCTGACAATGCACTATGGATAAATATTTCATAAATGTGTCAAAACCAAAAATACACAGACTAATCATTTTGACAAAAAAAAAGCAATATTATGAACGGCATAATTATAAACACTCAATCTGGCACTTTGTAAATTTAAGGTGTCAATGCAAGAAAATAAAAACTCAATTGATGTACTTATTAAATACCAAACAAACTGTTTCATTTGAATCTTCAAAAACTAAATTTGAAAATCGATGGTTCAGTGGGATCAATTATCTGATTTAAAGGAGAAACAATCCTTTTTTTTTTTCAAATGAAAAAGGAAGACAAAATGAAAGCTTGGACCAAATATATGTCTCAAAACCTTATATCATCAGTCAAGATATCTGCCAATATCAAAGTTCAATGACTTCTAGAAATTTTAGGCTACAGAACACCAGACTAAGTATTTCAGTTGACTTAATTTTCCCTGCTTAAATTCCTCATCAAATCTTCAGGTTTGTACGAAAGGACTTGATCATTTTGATTTCCAATCATATATATGTGAAAACAAAAATATGACACAGTTTATCACTGAACGGTAATGCCACCACAGAATAAATGCATTGTGCTAAGAATTACAAAGAAGCCTCAACTTCCTACCACTTTCTAAATTATTTTCTAAAATAACGTAGTCAATGGTCTAGTCAACATTGCATCAGGCTCATGCACGTCACACAGCATTTTCTGAAAGCGCACACAACACAGATATTTGCGCAATTTGCATTCCCATGACTTGGTAATGACTTCCGTAATACTAGTCCTAGGCAGATACCTCCATTGCTGTGGACCTGGTGGGGGTCTTCAGGCTGCAGAGCTGTTTGATGGTCTCCACTATTCTGTCATTATCATCAGACAAAGAGATTTGTATGTGTGGACCGTATTGCTGGTCGAGCTGTATGAATGAAAGAATATCACTTACAAAAGAGCCATGATAACATTTCTCACCATGAATATGAGATAGAAAGTATGTTTCAAAATGTTTTCATTAACAAACACATTTTTAAAGTGCAATATTTATTTTGTTCAGTAAATTATGGTAATGATGATTCCCACGAAAAAATATTAAGAAATTCAGCAATCATACTTACCTGCTGAAGAACAAACAAAGCTTTGGCACTGACAACTGATCCAGAAATGAAAATTTCACGCTCAGACCAATTTTGATTATACCATGCTTGACCAAATCCAAGGCGAACTTCGATGTTGGGTCGAGGACCTTGACCTTGAAGGTACTTTTGAACAGCAGGTACAAAATAATTGTTAAAATCAAAGAGTTTAAAGTCCGAGTTGTCACGCTCCAGTTTGAAGATCTCATCCTCCTTGTGTGGAGAGGCGCAGAAGATGACACACCTGAAAAGAATTGTCTTGATTACTGACCAACATTTCTGTCAATGCAAAACATACATCTTTATTTACCAAAAAAAAGTATATATGTATCATAACAGTGGCGGATTTAGAGGGGGGTCAGGGGGGTCCTGACCCCCCTTCGATTTCTGGTCCCCTCTTGAAATTAGAATTTTGACTAGCTGAATCATAGTTCTAAACCCTACCAAATGGCACCGTTTGCCCTTTAAAATACGAAAATATTTCAGGCCCCGAACCCCACGCCAAGTGTGTGTGTATGTGTGTGTGTTGGGGGGGGGGGGGGGGGGGGGGTTTTTTACACACGGGGCCCCCCCCCCCACCCCCCATTCAAAAAAACCGGGATTCCCCCCCC